GTTTGAGTGAGACTAGGGAATAATTATTCTTTGGCTGCTCCTATTCACAGCAACTGCTACAAATTGCAAGAGTGCATACTTTTCTTTGTGCAAGGCATTGGAGTGGCTCATATTCTGTTGCAAGTCACTTGGCAAGGTCAAACACAGCAGAGGGAAAACTAGTTGGCATCTTATGGTGTATGTTCACCAGTGCCATATGGAGGGAAAGTTACAGAAGAGCCCATGGGAAAGTATGACGATCATTGGAAGAAGTATGGATGAGTTTGAGATTGGATTTAGCTATATAGTGAGTGATAATCCATGTTTAGCTGCAGATTTTCATGCGTTAAACTTATAGGATTGTGTTAGTGGCTGAGTTGTAATAGAGTAGATCACAGTAGTCAAAAGATCTTTATAATTCTAGGAGAATTCACAATGAATTCTGCCTTTTGTTGTATCAAATAGGGGTTGTGATTTGCGATTCCTTAGCTTTAATAAAATTGGAGCAACTAATTCACAGAAAAAAATAATCACATTAATCCTAATTCAACCAATGTGGTAAGGAACCATAACAAAGAGCAAACTAATTGAAGCCAAAATTGACTTATTAGTCCTTCTAATCGAACCAACTATTGGAGTAGATGACGGGTGGAAACAATAGGGACACACACAAAACATAGATCTCGAGCTAATGTAAGGGGACGATCTGGGCAGCGACACCCGACAACAAATAGCCAACTCTAAGGCGCCTACCGCTCTCAACCCCATCGCAAGTTTCACAGCCGCTGCCTCTGATTCTGGACGCTTAGGTTTTCGAGTTCCTTGATAAAATTGGGAACATGGAAGAGAGAAATGAGGAGATTCCGAGAATGGGAGTCTGGCGCGCCTAACCTGGAAATTATTCAAATGAATTCGCCTGTTAGAAGAGGCAAGGTGGTAGAAGGAGGAAGGTAAGGATGCAAGTCGGAATTGATTTCTTCTCTGCTTCTTCCTCTTCCTCCCCTATGGCAAAATTTTTTGAACAACATTCCCCATTTCTTAGTTGTACTCGGGGAACCCCAACTAGTTCATTCATCCACAAGAAATTTACCCCACCGATTCTCGACTAGAAGTGTGACTCGCACGAAACTACACCACAAATTAATCCTGACTAGAGCCCAAGTTTTTAAACTCTTGCCGGGTGCAGTATATAGCAAGTATTTAAATTGTCAACTCCGGCCGGTTCATGTACCCCTACTTTGATCGCTTAAGTTGTTATCTAGCAAGCAACTTTAGGGTTTAGGTTTATTGGAACTACAAACTAACCAAGCAAAGAAAAGTAAATAAAGGAGAATTCTAACTAGGGGAGCTTCACCCAGGAATTGCTTCCCCCTAACTAGCTACCATGACCCGTTGGATTGAAACGATTGCCTTGGGCACTTTTATCGTGAACCATAGAGGAAAGCGTATGTGGTCAGAGACCACAGTCTCAATTGCTAAACCGAGGTGAGGATGAAAGGCCGTGTCACTCGACCCTCTCGCTTTAGACAATCGTAATCGACTTACTCTCTCACTCAACTCTAAGGTCGGACGGTTGAACCATGATTAATCGACTTGTTTAATTCAATATTGAGGGTTGCCAAAACTCAACATAGTTTAGGTGGCTTAGAAAGTGGAAGGAAAACCAACTCGATTGAGTCTCCCTTGAAAGGGGGATTTCCTCTCTAAACTAGGCTAAGGTGGCAAATTAGATTACTAGCACCTAATTGCACAAACTTAAGGGGTGCTAAGCACAATTATGCACAATCACTAGGATGCTAAGCACAAAACATGAACAACCCCTAAGTTGCTAAGCACAAGCATACACGGACGCGTTGGCCAGTTCACGGCCGTGAACACCTAAATGCGTCTGTGAACTCAGCGTCATCCAAAACGCGCCGCTTCGCTCGCCTGGGTTCACGGTCAATGGCCCAGTTCACGGTCTTAAAGACCGTGAACTACCTTGTCGTCAGTAACTTCACGAACCATGCTGGACTGCTTGATGTTCACGGTTTGTGATCCATGTTCACGGTCTTAGGAGACCGTGAACCGCCTTGTCCGGTCGTGAACTGCGGCTGTTTCATGGGACGCCTTCACTACACTACTACGAGCCAATTGTCACGGACTTCGTACTTTTCTTCGGTTTTGGCACTTTTTGACCTCAAAATATCCCAAAACTCGTCCTCGACCCTTCCACTCGTGCTAGGACCTGAAATGTATCAAAACAAGCACAACCTAGCGTGAAATATGTCGAGGAATGATGAAATACTAAGCTAAAGGAATAAGAAATGAGAGGTATAATGTGTGCATTCGAGGGGCATTTCAACTTTGGAATCGTTGTCGCCCTTCACTTCATCTCGCCTCTGCTGGTGTGATCTAGGAACCCCAAGTTATGATGTGGATTGTTTGCGCGTAGAGAGCTCGATCGATGGTGGAAGTGGTGAATTTGGTGAGTGCGAGGACTCGATTCGACGGCTACGGACCCATAGAGCAAGAGGTTGGAAGAAGAGTTGGTGGAGTTGAAGCGGTTGAAAAAGAAATTGACAATGAAGGTCGGCTGGAAGAGAAATAAGAGAAGGAGGAAAGGTATAGTGGGGGAGGGGGTTATTTTTATTTTATTTATTTTTAAATGACTTGGAAAATAAAGAAAGGGTAAATACTAATTATTAGTCAAATCTTTCGCATTCTTTTTTATTAGCAAAACCTATTGAATTACTATAATAAGCCAAACCTTTTGTAACGAATCAAAATATTAGCCTTCTTCTGTTACTGTTAATGATTTCCTAACGGTGCTCCACCTCAACACCCATAAAATTTTAATTATTTTTTCCCATATCACTTAAGAAAATAAAAATAAAAATCATTCCAATCTCTCTACCGTTCACCCCCTGCAACTCCACTCATCTTATCTCTCCCGAACCACATCTTGACTTCATAGTTGTTTTTCCCTACCTCCAGAACTAGCAAACACCGGTGCCCTCTTCCTGTCTCTAGACCCATTAATTCCCGCCGCCCTTATCTCAGCATGCAGACCAACAAATACTGCCGCCTCTGCTTCAGCCTCTGCCGTCGAGCCTAAATGTGAAGGAGAATGACGAAGGGGCATCACAGCCTTGCCGTTGAGCCAAGGACGAAGAAGAATGACCGGGAGCTTCCCAGATCTTCCGCCAATTCACTTGTTAGTCGTCATCACCCTACAGCCAACTCATAATTGCTCTTCGTCGGTCGATCCTGCTAGGGTCGTAAAGACCTAGTGGAGGATACTAGATTCGCCGCCTTCAACATCCATCTCCATTAGTGGAATGGGCGGCGTGGGGCTTTTCACTTCGTCAGCAATCTAAGGTCATTTTTGAGTAGCAGAGAAGGGAGAGAGGAGGAATGAAGAGAGAGGGAGAGGTTGCTGCAAACGATCGAGACCACTTCCCTAGCTTGATGCTCGGGTTGTTTTACCGCGTTTGACTGTAGTGGTTTGGTGAAAATGTGTAGAATGAGAAATTTTATTAAAACGTATGTATATTGAAAATTATTTTATAGAACATGTGTACTTTGAGAAGAAAATCCTCGTCATACCGAATTTGTATCTTGATATTTTCATAACATATTTTTCATTTTTTACCAAGTTGTTTCGTCAGCCGTACAAATTCCTCATTTTTAGCACTTTTACTATGTTATATAGCATTGGTGTTTTAATGTACAACTCAAAGTTGTACCATAACATTAAATATATAAGTTTAGGTTGTACCATAAAGCAATTTGTATCATTATGTTCAATGCAGTTAAAAGCGCGATTCTACCTAGAAGCGGGAAATGGGTAAAATTGTAAAACATAGAATCAAAGCGTAAAAGCGTAAGTTTTTGACGCACCCTCTAAAATAGCTAAAATATGTTAAGTACAACATATAGTATGTAAAATGTGAGTGTGTAGATTTTAGATAAGTGAATAACTACATGAAATTCATAATTAAAATGTAATATCTAACACATAAAGTAATTTGTATTGACTCAAAAGTAGAGAAAACTCATAATATCTTAATAATTAGCTCATAAACGTAGATCGTAACCCGTAAACGAGCTTGAGAATCCAAATTCTCCTAAGCTGGTTTGAGTTTACATAATTACGTACGATCAATTACCCATAAACTTTTATCGTAACCCAGGTAAGAGCCACATGTGAAGATAAATGGAGAAGACTGATAGAAGGTCAGCGGCTGTTGAGAATACCATTAGGTGTCTTTTCAACCTAATGTGAAGCCCCTATCTCGACACTAGTTGTAGAAAGAGCGATAAATCATGATTTTTTTTTTATTATTTGCTGATATGTCTCCAAAATTACATCATTTTGGGCCAATTAGCACATTTTTATGAAATGATCAAAATCGTATAAAAACGCTTCAGAATCGCGATTTTAAGCGATTTTACCCATGTTTTTACCAGTTTTTGTGACTAAGCGACTTAAGGTAGAAACTGAAACGTTTTGGTGGCCTGGATACGTAAAAACGTAAGTTTTTACGTTTTAATGCGCGATTTTGACTGCACTGATTATGTTATGGTACCACTTTACAACTTGAAGTTGTACCATCACATAAAGGTACAAGTTGAAGTTCTACCATAAAAGAATTTGTACAAAAAATATAGGTACAATATGAAGTTGTACAATAACGTAAATATACAATTTTAAGTTGTATCATAAATTAAATTCTATAGCACCAATACTATATAGGATTGTAAAATTTCTCGAATTCTTTTTGATTTGTTATATTATATATATAATATTATTATATTCGTTTCTGTGGACCTATTATCCCAAATTGCCCTCATCGATCTTCTTTATTCCCGACTTGGCCTCTCACAACCTTTCCTTTCTTAGATTCTTCTTTCATCTCTGACCTCCTCCATCCTCCCCTCCCCTCCCCGCTCCCGCTGCTGTTCTCAGTTTTTCACGTCGACCAGATCTCAGCCCGACGGTCGCTACTCCCCCAATTTTTCACAGTCTCGATTCACCCATGACGCTTGGCTCAGGAGGATCGAGTGTTGTGGGTTCGTCCCTTACTCCCCCTTACGTTTCCTTGTTTTCGTATCTCTCGCTACCCCATCCTATCTCAGCTGATGGGCTCGATCTGTTAAGGCTTTTTATTGCTTACCTGACGTGGGTTTTCAATTCTGTGTTCCTAGGTTTATCTGTTTCCTTTGGTTTTATTCCGGTTGATTTGGAAATTTTCTTCTTGGTGGGGGTTCCTCGATTATGAATTTTTGTTCGTTTCCGCTTTATTTCCCATTCTTGTACTTCGTCTGCCAATCTTCTGAAAGTGAGCTGATGAACAGCTTTATGCCAAAAAAGAAAATCTTTTTAGTTCAACAGCACGTCTGTCATTGACTCTCCTCCTTGAGCTGTTTCTGACTATGTTTTGTGGTCCTTTGTTTGCTTTTTGGATCGCTGCGTTGTTTTCGCAGTCTTAATCTTTGTAGTGGTGGTCTTTGTCAACTCGTCTTGTTCTAAGAGCAGTAAGAATGCTATGATACACCTAAGAAACAAATATGTGTCTGATCCGCTTGTACTCTGAATTTGATTAAAATCTCATTGGAAAGATTATGCTGATTGCTGAATGGTAATGATCACTGAGTCTTGAGAGTTTGGTGCATGTTTCATCCATACCTGAGATGAAACCTCTCGGCATTCATGACTGGGAACTTGACGTTAAAGGATTAGCTTTGGTTACTTTTACTAGTGTTTCTTTGATCCATGTGAAGTGTAGGAAACTGGAGCGAAATGTGTTTATTTTCGAAGCTGACCATTTTGTTCCAGTCTCTTTCTGTTCCATTATCTTTGTATCTTATGATTATTTGTTTCTAAATCCCAATGCTTACTGTGGTTTGTGACCGCAATTGAATTTTGGTTGCAGTCCCTAGGAATTTCAGATTGCTGGAAGAGCTTGAACGTGGGGAGAAGGGTATTGGAGATGGCACTGTAAGCTATGGAATGGATGATGGAGATGACATTTACATGCGCTCTTGGACTGGCACGATAATTGGTCCTCACAATGTAATGCATTACTTCACTTTTATGATTTTAGAACTATGGACTTGATTAAATAGTATGCTTTCTGTCAACATGCAGTCTGTTTGGAGTAGGATCTTTGGTATAACCTTTCAACATTTCTCGACTCCCAATCTATTGACATTTTGGTTTCACTGCTTACCCCAACATTGTATATTTGCATTAACTGCCCCTCTTTCCTTTCCTTGATCCCAGTAGGGACGTGAGATTGATATTTTTGTTAGATGATGTGATTCTCTTTTTGTTTTTGTTCTTATGTATGCTATTTGATTGTTTGTTTCAATTCAACCTCTACTGGAGCGGTTCTGAGTTCTGACTTGCCTTTAGCCTTGGCCCATTCTGATGTTTCCGCGCTCTGCATACCATGACTTGTTCACCTTTTGTTTGCTTAGGTAGTCTAGTTAGGCTTGTTAAAGCTGCAAGTTTTAGGCGTCTTGGAGTGCCTGAAGTGTCTCTTTCTCAGTATGCTGCATTTATGATGTGGATATGATAAATTAAGTTAGTGTTCGTATGTGCTCTGTTTAAGTTAAGATCGTTTCCTACAAGTAGGATTTCTAAATAAAGGATGATATTAGGTGGGGACTAGATATTCTTTGGATTCTAGTCTTCTGGATATTAAGTGCATAGATATACACATTCAGGTGGATGGGGCTGACAAAACTTGATATGTAATATTTTGTTTCGAATGTAAGGTACTTCACTGCATTCAATGGTTCTACTGCTTTTTTATTTATTTATTGCATTTCAATTTTTATCAACCTTATTGCCTAAAATGTTTTTTTTTTTACCATCCCAGACTGTACATGAAGGCCGGATTTATCAATTGAAGCTTTTCTGCGACAAAGATTACCCTGAGAAGCCACCTAGTGTTCGTTTCCATTCACGAGTCAACATGACTTGCGTAAATCATGAAACCGGAGCGGTATGACTCTGTATTCTTCATGTGTAGAATTGTTTTGAATTTGTGCTTCTCTTACTCTCATGGTTTAAGTTTTTGAGTAGTATACTCCTGGTGGTACTGAAATCGGGAGCAATAACAAATCTTACCTTAGTCTATCGATGGCTCTGTGTTAATCTTCAACATGACTAGTTTACTATTGAAATGGTGGCAGGTGGAATCGAAGAAGTTTGGACCGCTTGGGAATTGGCAGAGAGAGTACACGATGGAAGATATACTGACACAGCTGAAGAAGGAGATGGCAGCCCCACACAACCGGAAGCTTGTACAACCTCCAGAGGGAACCTACTTCTAGCCATGAAGAAGGAAGGTGGTGGAGGCTAATGATGGAACATATCAATTGCCCGGAGGCAATTCCGGGCACATATAGAAGTTTGTAATGGTGGGAACTGGGTGAGGTTTTTGGGACATACAATTGAATGTCCCCCCTTGAAGGAAAGCCAGCCTTCTCTACTTGGTCTGGGTCTCTTTGTGTCATTTGGTTGCCTTATTTCCTGTTGAATCTGATGTGTCCCGAAGAAGGAATCCTGCTGTTTGATTAATGGGATATTTTCACGTGTCATCAAGTATTTAAGGTAGTTCCCTTAAAAAAAAAGTATTTATATGGTAATAAAAAATGCTAAGGATGGTTTGTCATCGTGCAAATATTTGTTTAGAAGCAAGATTTTGAACATCTTTTTTCAAAATATATTTTGCTGATTGACAATCAATGCGTAGTAAAATTTTTTGATTGAGCAAATCATGCTGAAATTTTGAGATGCATAAGACAATAGCAAGCAGTTCTTTTTTGACAGTGGAGTAGTTGATTTGCGTAGGGTTCCAATGTTTAGAAGTAAAGCGTACCAACAACTCCTTATCATTTTGAATCTGCTTAAGGATTCTTCCATATCCTAGGTCAGAGGCGTCAGTTTCGATGATTTTAGGGAGAGAAGGATCACTTATGTGAAGGCACGGGAGACTCTGAACCTGCCTCTTAATTTGCTGAACTATTTTGGTATGCTGGTCACTCCAGGGAGGGGGACTCTTTTTCAATCTATCATGGAGAGGTTCACAAAGAAGATTGATGTTAGGATAAAAGTCAAGAGCATAATTTAAACTACCCAGGAACTGTTGTAATTGATTTTTGTCTAAAATTTGATCAGGAAATTTATATGCAAATTGAAGAGATCTTTCGATTGGAACAATTGTTCCTTGACTAATGTAGTGACCCAAAAAACGTATCTTAGTTTGAAAAAGACAAAGTTTTGGTTTTAGAGACAGCCAGATCGTTACGTAGAGTGACTTCAAGAAATAGATTGGGATGTTTGAAATGTTGGTCAATGGACGAAGAAAAAACCAGGATATCATCAATATAAACCATTATGAAATCAAAATAAGGAGAGTAGATTTGATCCATAATTCTTTGAAATTCCGAGGGAGCATTTTTCAAACCAAACGGCATGACGTTCCATTCATATTGGCCAAAGGGAACGGTAAAAGCAGTTTTATAGCGGTCTGTTTCTTTGATTTGGATTTTGCCAAAATCCGGATTTCATGTCAAATTTAGAAAATATTAGGGACTGTGAAAGTTTCTAGAGTAGATCCTTTTGGTTGGGGATAGGATACCTAATCCATTTAAAGCCTTATTCAACGGTTTGTAGTTTATAACTAGACGAGGAACACCACGTTCCTTTTCTGCATTATTAATGACATAGAAAACAGAACAACTCCAAGGGGATTGGCTAGATCTTATAAGGCCCTTTTTTAGCAATTCTTTAATTTCTTGTCGACAATGTTTTTCAAGGTTTGAATTCATTTGGATAGGCCTAGCCTTGGTGGGAATGAGATTTTCTGTGAAATCTTTTTCGTAAGGGAGATCAACCTGATGTTGTTTTTTATGCCAAAAAGCATTGGGTGTATCAGCACAAATAGAGCTTTCAATGTGCTCTTTTAAAGAGTTGACTCTTTTTTGCAAAAGGGGTTGAGAAGCTGTTGTAAGATTCGCTGAAAATGTATCTCATCATGCAAATAAGATATTTGATTAGTTTTACAACGAATTATATGGATGGTGTATGTATTTTATAGAAGAACGTCGTAAAACATTTAGGTTTCGAACTTTTGGTTTTTGGAGAAAAGAGAATTTAACATTGTTGCCTAACACAATAGTGTTAATTCCTTGGTCGGTGATGGTAAAAGGTTTTAGAAGATTTAGAAAAGGTGTCCCTAGTATTTAATGATGACAATGTGGGAAGCTTTTGTTTAGAACCAGAAACGACAATAAATTTTTGAAGGTAATTTTGAGCTTAAAGAGGAAGCTTATCAATATTGATTAAAGCTTTGGATGAACTTGAGTGTGAACCAGAATCATCAGAACTTTCTTCATACTCACTTGAATGATCAGGGCTTCCTTGTTCATCATCAAATATCTCCCTCCATGTTTTGATAAAAGGGGTTGGTAGGTGGAATAGTCACATGAGGTTTCTCCATGTGCTCATGAAGCTTTTTGAAATATTTTTCTTTGAGATGATAATTATCAATATTATTGATAGAAGATTCAGAACTTTCATCAATGTCATCAAACTGTAAGGCTTGAAGATTCTCCTCATCATCATCATCAGAAGAAGAATCCTCATGAGAAGAAGAGTAGTGTTGGAGAAAAAGTTTATTGATTTTGTCATGAATCTCTTCATCAAAATTAAGCTCATTGAGCTTCTTTTTTTATGACAATATTTGGAAATATGACCTGTTTTCCACAACAACAACAAGTAATGTTTTGATTTTCATTGTTAGATCGTGGTCCCTTATCCGGGCGGGGATTCCTAGAAAAATGGGATTTTTTATTCGTGATTTTAAAAGATCGGTAGGGACGATCATGATGTTTTTTATGAGGTTTGGTGCTACAATCCTCACAGTTAGATTTGGAAGAAATTTTTGAATAAGATTCATCAAACTGAGCACAAAAAGATCCTAATTCTTTTCGAGTTAGTTTTTGTTCGCGTTTGATTTGTTTTTGAAGGTTTAAATCTTGGCAAATTTGTAATCCTTCTTTTTGTATAAAGCTAATAAGTTCTCCGTAAGTAAGTTGCTCATAAGGAATTTGACCATTAAAAGTGTCTTGGATTTTGTTTTGGATTCTATCTCCTAAGAGACGGGGTAAACCGGCTAAATACTTCTATTTCCAAAATGGTTGATTTCCATCTTATCTTTGCATAACCCTAGTTAAAAAGGTATCTTTGTACCATCGGAAGTCATGAAACTGTTTACAACGAAGATTAGAAATTAGTTCAACATTTTTATCCTTAAGATGTGAAGGATCTCCAATTAAATGTTTTGAAATGGCAAAAATCAGAGATGCAACTGCATCTTGAGAAGATTGATTATTGGAGTCTAAAATAGGAGTTCCAGAAGAATCACATTTGACAGCTGTAAAAATAGTTCTCTGGTCTTCCGCGGTTAAGATATTATCCCATCAACCCTTTAATTAACCAGCAAAACCGGCTATAAGTAGTTCAGCTATAGCGTAATCAGAAGTTTGATTTTGAGTTTTGTAAGCATTAGCTACCATGTTCATTTGTTGAAGAAGGTTCGAAATTTGATATTCTGAAAATCCATCATGATTCCATTCATAAATAGAATTGGAGTTGTATTTATTTTGGATAATATTGGGTTTCTCTTCGAGAGCTAAATTAGGTGCAGTGGGTAATACATCTTAGATGTAGAGGGTTAGTTCCATCGGAGACAATTGATTTCTGTTTCAATCTAACCTTCTAGGTCTTAAATTACTTTCGCTGAGTCATCAACGATTTGATCCTCGTTGCTCGTGGATTTTGAGTAAAAAATATAAGGAGTCTTAGAAATGGATAGTTGTGTAGAAAGTTGTTTAAGATGTTTTCTATTTCAAGCTTAAATTCGAGACTGGATTCTTTAGAAACTTCAAAAGGTTTGCAAATGGGGGAATTAAGTTTGTTGGAAGGAGGAATAGGAGTATTTGAAGTAGACGCAAAAGACAGAGGTAAATTGATTTCAACATTAGTAAGTTGATCTCCTAAGGTCTAAAGAAATCGGTTTGTATAATTGCTTTGCTCAATCAGACGTCGAATATCTTCTCCTTTGACATGGTCACTATTTTCTCGTTTTAATTTAAAAGGAGAGGCTTGAACTGCTGTTCCATAATAAAAAAGATTAACATGAGCATTAGGGGGGTGAATAGATTGGATCTTAGAGTTATTAACAGTTAACCAAGTCATAGGCTTGGTTTGAACATTTATCGAAGATTGAGAAAAGACTTGTCCGAACCAATTAAAGAAAGAAAGGTGTTCTTGTATATTATTGAGATAATCATAGAAAGAGTTTTGTATAACTACACGTTCTTCCTTAGAGTAATCAGTAAAAAATTGCTCAGGTTTAAAACGGTTTCGTTGGGAATAGAAATCATGGCGAAGAAGGCATTAATCCAAGCTTCATGGTAATCCCAGTAATTGAAGGATTGGCAGATTTGCGGGTGGTTAAGAGCAATAGTAGCGGGGAATTTTCGGTTGGTGTTTGGGCTAGTAGGCCATTGGCGAGGGTGGATAATTTGGTGGATTTTGCAGGTTGAGTGGGTATTGAGTGTTTTGTCTGAAGGATCAAATTTGTGGGAAAAGGTGACTGATCCAGTTTCTGTGAGGATAAGTTCATAATATTTTTGGGTTTTGTTGAGGGATCGTGGTTTGAAGAACCACTCATTGAGAAAATGTTTGGCAGTAACATTTGGATATTGATGGTAGAAACCATCTTCGACAACGAAAATGGGTTGAAAAGTGTTTTTCTTAAAATACGTTTGAAATCGATTTTGAGGGGCTTGGACAACCACCACCTCTTGGGTTTTGAGAAAAACAGTTTTGAGAGGGGCTATCGAAGATGCCACCTCTGTTGAGGTAGGTGCGACATCAAGATGATGTTGCTGATAGATTGTTTGGTTTCTTCGGAAGAGATGGGTGTGGGTAGGATGCCACTTGGCGTTTGAGTATTTGAAAGAATTAGTTTAGAAGGAGAAATTGTTGAGGAAGTTGAAGCTTCAGTGGGAAGCTTTTGTTTAGAACCAGAAACGGCAATAAATTTTTGAAGGTAATTTTGAGCTTCAAGAGGAAGCTTATCAATATTGATTAAAGCTTTGGATGAATTTGAGTGTGAACCAGAATCATCATAACTTTCTTCATACTCACTTGAATGATCAGGGCTTCCTTGTTCATCATCAAATATCTCTCTCCATGTTTTGATTTTGATTTTCTCTTTATCTCGCAATCTAGTGGGTTGGAAGTGGTCTTCTTTCCATAA